CAGAGCTCTGATGCAAGGCCGCGCACAGTGATGTTCAGATTGAGGTAGCCGTTTTCAGCTTAGGATTTGGGGTTATTCAGATCGGCGTTCAAATCACTGTTGTCACTTATAGAGGCCCACCTTGAATTGAGGCAGTTGTTGACAAATGTGGGGTTATTCCGATTTTCTAGTTTTTTTTTTTTTAATTATTGTTGGTGTTAATGAATCGATGGTGGTGGCGATGGTTTTTTATGGTTTGTGGGTGATGATGGCAGTGGTCATTCATGTGTTAATAGAAGCAGTAGTTCTGTTGGTAGTATTGCGGGCGGTAGTGATTTTGTTGTTGCAGGCGATGGTCTTTGTTTTGGTGGACATGGGATGAGGTGCTCAAAGTGGTGGTTGGAAGTGATTTTTGTAAAGGTTTGGTGGCAATTTTGTGGTGGTTTTTGTGATGTTTTGTCATTGGTGATTTACTTGGTTGTTAGTGGTGATGGTGGTAGTGTGTTAGTGGTGGTTATGGTAGAATGTTGGCAATGGATCAATGTCTACTAGTGGTGATGATGAAGGTGTGTAGGTCATAGTCAATTGAGTTTTTGCGATCAAATATCTTGAATATGTGACCTATCAAATTGCATAGGTCATACGTTAAAATACATAGGTTACGGGTCATAGATACAAGAAATTTGGTAACGGGCCATTGGATCAGGACACAAATTGAAGAGATTTGTTCACCTGCTATTGGATCAAGTCAAGGACACATATAACAGGGCACGTGTTAAAGTGTATACTTCACAAGTAACAGATTCAAGAGATTTGGCCATGCTAACGTGTATACTTTACAAGTAACGGATTCAAGAGATTTGGTCAGAGGTCCAATAGATTTATTCACAGGTGGTTAAATCAGGTCGTAGGTCACACATCAAGTGCATATGTCACAGGTCACAAATATAAGAGATTTGATCATAGACCATTGGCTCAGGTTGTGATCACAGATCCAAGAGATTTGGTCACAGGCCACTGGATCAGGTTACAGGTCACATGTCAAAGTGCACACGTCACATGTCACAAATTTAAGAAATCTATTCACATGACATTGATTTCTCCGACCTTAGTTATCCAAACTGGTCACAAATTTAAATAACCAAATTTGGGCGGTGAGAATTCAACTTATTTGCTCCGTTAAGTGCTCCATAAATTACAACAAGAGCTTTTTTCAATTTTTAATTTTTAAAAAAAGTTCCGATTATATTAGTACTGCTTGGTCCTAACACCAACGACTTGATTGTCGCTGAGCGGCGATCAATGTACCATTGAAGAAGTCGCCAACGATGTAGAGGTCGGGGGGATGTCGACAAGGGGTGGACGCCAGTGAGTGGGATGGAGGTAGTTAGGGTGGGTGTGCATTGTTTAATTTAATTTGATAATATTATTATTTAAAACTAAAAAATAAAAATAAAAATCTGACTTTCGCATTTAAAATTTAATCTCTGAGATTTGATTTGGTGCATACTTAATAGTTGGAATATGATTTTTTCCCTTATCCAAATATTGGGGCATGCGGTTACTCCTAATCCAACCTAAGTCAAGCCCCTATTTGGTGGCCATAGAATTTTAAAAATATAGTTTTGAATAATACTTTTTATAGAATGTGTGGTTAAAAGAGGAAAGGTAAAAAAGTTTTTAATTTACGTGTAAAATATTTTATTATGTAAATATATAATCAAAAATAAATTAAGTAAAGTATAGGCCACGAAAAGGGTTGAATTTATATATACACTGGTCTATAAATATTGGGTAGCATTATTTTCATCCACGCTTTTTATAAGTACATTCACTTTTAAAAATAAAATTTTACTATATTTTAAATTATATATAAATTTATTTAAATAGACATAAGTAATAATGAAGGGTAATAGATATAAAAATACAAAACTCTAAATTGATCCACTAATTTTTTCTTTCATTAAATCATCTTAAAATTTGTGTTTAACTAGAATCCTAATATATTAAGATCTCTAGGGAGGTAGAGGCATTGAATTCTGCTTCAAAGAAGATCTAGCAGCCTCGACCATTACCTGAAGGTATTGTTTAAGCTTGGTAAAAGAGCCCACATAAATGACCGGAAGAGAGTTCAATATACTATCATAGGATTCAGCAGCTCTAGCAATCTCAAAGTGGCTCTGAAAATCTATGTCAATAATCAATCGGCATCCAAAATCATTAAAGCCAACAATATCAATGTATTCATGATCACCTGCATATGAAGTTAGAAAATATTGAATCAGAATTTTAATAAAAGTCCATACTCCGCTATATGAATAAACTGGTTAAATAAGACACAACTCGTTAGGCAAGGAAGAAAAGCCAAAAGATACATTAATCCGTCCCCAATGACACAACACACAACAAAAAATCCCACTACCCGATTCTACAGAACTCGTTAGGCAGATCTGCTTGTTATGACCGGTTACTCATCTTCTTGTAGTAGCACTTAAATACACTAAGTTGACAGAAAGTATTATTTAGCTCTAGGAACCTTGTCGCTCCCTCGCCACCTGGATGTACGCACACCAACATCATAACCATAAAGCCTCATAAGCTTCACCAGAGAAAGCACAGGTAAAATCACATCATCATAGCTTATCTTTCCTTCACATTTCTGTGTTTAGGGAGATAAAAGAATAGTTGCGGAATGGCCGGATCTTGATTTAGAAGCTAGACAATTCACTACTAAAATTTTAGGAAAAAATGTCGAACTCCAAGAACATGCAGCACCTCCTCCCCTCCAAACGCAGGACAAAGTCAGTGACTTTTCATCAGAAGACGAGGAATCAAAAGCAGAATTGTAAGTATAGGAGCCTAGAAGCGCGGTTGGAGTTTCAGCCCGTGCTTAACAAGCCTCAGGTATTTGTTCCGCCATATACGGGCTTGCAAAAGATCTCGTTAGAAATTCAGCTACCAAAAATCTCGAGAGAATTTTTTGCCCAAAAAAGGCTAGAGTAGAATTTGTTTGAGGAGCTTTCTTGGCATAGGTAGGTGAAGCAACCTCTGAAAAAACCATTAATGAAATATTTCTTGCAGGGACGAAATCAGAGGGATGGGAGAAATGATTTGAGTTTGGCTGAGGTATACCAAATCATATAAATTCTTATTGAATTTAGTCGTTGAATATAAAATAATGATCATGAGGTGTATAGTCGACGTGCTATTATTATTAAAGCTTAGTCATTATCAACTTTTGTCTCATCGAATTCTTATTGCAAATGCTTGTGGCTTGTCGACGAATTGACGTGCATATTATTGCGTATGATCAATCCAAAATATTAATTATATGCTCATGTTACGTAATAAAACCTACTAACCTTAAATGTTATAAAATAATCTTGTTCGAAGCATTCTAATACTCAGAATTTTAATACACAGAATTTAGTGAACAATGGAAGAGACGTCGTTAGAGCAAAAATATACAGACATAGCAATACATGAAGAGAAATTTGAAAAAGTAAGGATTACATTTTTATCGTGTTTTGTTGTTTGATTTTTTCCTAACACATTAATACATTAATGATTTTTTTCACAAGTATTTAGAAAAATTTCAATTCATCTGCTATTTCAAATACTTATCCGATGTTGTATTTTTTATATTAGTTATTGTTAAATTTATTTCAATGAAATTATTTAAAACTATATTTTTAATGTAAGATACATCGGCACATAATTATGATGTCCAGAATGAGTTATTTGTTGATTATACGGATATGTTTACTACAAACATGGTACGTAATAATTTTATTTTTTTTAACATGATCATATATTTATATATGAATATTTGATGATAAACAGATGTTTACAAGTAAAGAGGCCTTGATTGATTGGGTTAAAACTACTGGTAAGAGACATAACATGATTGTTGTTATGAAAACGTCCGACTTCGGCCAAGTTGGGAGAAAACCAAGAATTGATTTTACATATGAAATATATGGTTTGTATAGGTGTAGGAATACTAACAAAGAAAATGAAAAACGAAAGAGACGAAGAACTACCGAAACAAAAAAATGTGGATGCCCATTCGTATTAAATAGAAGAAAATTGATAAATGGTGATTATTGGATATTGAAAGTGAAATGTGGGAGACATAATCATGACATTGCCCAAAACTTTGAAGGACATTCATATACTGGGAGATTAACTAAGAAAGAGACTTCAATTTTAATAGACATGTCAAAGAATCATGTAAGACCAAAGGAAATATTATATACATTGAAACAAAATGATGACACAAATGTTAGCACAATGAGGCACGTCTACAATGCACGTCAGAAGTTCAGGCTCAAAGAACAAGCTGGAAGGACACAAATGCAACAACTAATGAATAGACTTGTTGAGAGTAAAGATATAGAGTGGTACCGCACCTACATGGAGACGAATATAGTTCAAGATTTATTCTGAGCACATCCATATTCAGTAGATTTGTTGCGGGCTTTTCCTCGTGTGATAATTATGGATTGCACCTATAAGACAAATAGGTATCGCCTACCGTTGTTGAAAATAGTAGGTGTCACTTCTAGTGATTTAACATTTTCGATCGCTTTTGCATACTTGGGAAAAGAACGTGACGAAAACTACGCATGGGCTTTAGGGAGATTGAAGAGTCTGATGAACAATATAATAATGCCTAGTGTTATTGTTACTGAAAGAAAACTTTGCGTATGATCAATCCAAAATATTAATTATATGCTCATGTTACGTAATAAAACCTACTAACCTTAAATGTTATAAAATAATCTCGTTCGAAGCATTCTAATACTCAGAATTTTAATACAATAAAATCTAAATCTCTTAAAATCCAATTTTCAACAATTTCCACAAGCAATTGATTATGTAATGAATTCATGGCTTCTTCAATATAAAGAGAAGTTTGTGGCAGCTTGGATAAATCTACACATGCACTTTGGAAACACGACAACTAAAAGGTAAATTTATATTGGCATTATTAAATTGCTATTTGCATTATTAAGTGTGCTAATGTACAGTGATTATGATTTATTTTTCATGGTAGGGCTGAATCTGCACATGCAAAACTTAAAAGGCATTTAGGTTCTTCCCAAGGTAACTTTGACACATCATGGACAAGAATTCATGCATTATTGGAGCTACAACATACATATATTAAAGCATCGTTTGAAAAGAGTTTGGGTACTGTCCAACATAATTTCAAACCTACCTTGTTTAAAAAGCTTAGGGGATTTACATCAAGAATTGCAATGAATCTGACATTTCAAGAGTCCCAAGCGAGCTAATGACATAGGAACTGACAAGGTAACTTGTGGATGTGTTATACGACAAACACATGGATTACCGTTTGCCCATGAGATTTCAAAGTATAAGAAAGAATCTCAACCCATTCTTTTATCAAGAACACACTCTCACTAGAAGAAGCTTGATCTAGTTCCTCTTGATAAAGGTAACACATCCGAAATTAATTGTGCATCATTATTTTAAATGATTGAAAAACGGTACCGAGATAATAATGATCATGTGAAGGCAGAAATCCAACAAAAATTGAAAGACATTGCTAGTCCGAGTTCTACATCAGTAGTTGAGCCACAAGTCCAAACTAAGACAAAGGGTCGTCCATCTTCAAAAATAGATGTATCTACTCCTCGAGACTCATCGTATTTTGAGTTAGTTCTATCTGGACAAAACAATACGTTACAACAATTGGATAGTTCCATAACACATTTAAGTTAACCCATGTTATCAAGCCAACCTCTAATTCGATAAAAACAAAAGGTGTATCGAGCACGTGGATCAAAGTCCATGGCTTATTTTGATTCGTTTCCTATTCATTTGAGACCTTACATAGTTGATGTGCAAGATGTGGCCGCAGATGGCAATTGTGGTTTTCGGGCCGTGGCTAATATTCTAGGTATAGGTGAAGAGAATTGGTCTTTGGTCAGAAAAGACCTAATAAAGGAGCTTGAATCTCATTTTGATGATTACTCTGGACTCTATGGAAATGATGATATGGTCCATGAGTTGATTCATTCACTTTCTCATTTTGATGGTTCAGCGAGTCATGAGTATTGGATGACTATGCCGGATATGGGTCATGTTATTACTTCAAGATATAAAATTATTCTTGTTCACTTGAGCCAACAACAATGTCTTACATTTCTTCCACTTTGGGATAAACCACTTGCAGTCGCATCTCATAAGATTGTTGCAATTGGATTTGTCAATGACTACAATTTTGTCTCGGTAAATATTCATCAAATTAATTAAATTTTTAATTAACTAAATAATATTTCTACTTATGTTTTTCTATGTGATTGTGTACAAGTAAATTGGCATAATAGTGGACCAATGCCACCTATTGCTTGTAATTGGTACAAGTATCGTCATCTATGTGCAGAAGGTTGGGCTACACCTTATCATGCAAGGATGCAATTTTTTAGGTCCCTGGTAGAAGAAGGTGTAGCTAAATTAGAGATAATTGATTTGGATAAACCATAAGAACAATTCGCTACTACTATTATTATTATTTTTTGATCTGATAACACTACTATTATTGATTGAACAATTACTTGATTTGTTCGCTACTATTCGATTACCTAATCATGTTATTTTTATCCGCAAAGATTTGAAGCCTAATTTTGATTCACATTGATATATTATTTACAAATTATTTCTAGCATGTGATGTTTTCTATTTGTTATTAATGTGAAGCATTTTTGTCTAATTGAAAAATAAGAAATTTAGGCATGTTAAAACATTTTTCTCTAAACATTTATGTAATTTTTTCACCTTGTAATTTTTTATTTAAGCATACCATGAAAAGATGATTGAAGCAAACCAATCATCGTCCAAACACGATGAGTTTCAAATGTTACTCGATATACTTTCTCTAGAGATAAACCTCCTCCTAATTTGGATGTTGATTCATGGTGGTTTGCCTTTGATGAATTGAGTTTTATGAATAAGAATGATAAAATTTCTAGTAAAAACTGCTAAAATGGTTAGATGAATAATATATATTAATTTAATGTTCAATGATATATATTAACTCCAACGGTGATAATTTTTCGGTGACCTAAAGATTTCTTTTTTAGATTTTCATGGGAAACTTTGCTACTGCCATGAATTATTGTGTTCCAACGTTAACGTATACAGTTTGTCTTTTAACTGTTTAGAGATGATAATAATAATTTCATGGGGGAATATGCTTACATTGAACGATGACTAACTGATGAAATCCTAAATCGAAGACATGAATGTAATAAAATTAATATCATCTTTGTTAGCATTTCATTCATTTTGTTTAAAAGAGTTTATATTTTAGAGATTGTGTGAATCTAGTGTTAGGGATGTATTTAAAATTTATGTGAATATATGTTATTTAAATGAATGAATTTAGTGAGGACAGAATTGGAATATAACGTGGATGTAAATAGTCCTTTTTTTTAAGTTTTAAAATTTTATTAAGAATAAATTTAGAGCGAGACGTATTTATAAAAAGCGTAGATGAAAATAGGGCTATCCTAGGTATTTACACCGTCCAAAGATTTTCTTGTTAATGGCGTTCTTTTTTTCTGAAATCTAATTTTAACCCTTTGTGTGGTAAAAAACCTGATTTTATATTAGCTAGACTCAATCAATCAATCAATCTAATCCCTTCTTGTGAAAACTACGCAGAACCTGAAAACTCATCGATCGCTATTACTGCAATTGTCGACAAACTATATCTCTGTATATATGTATCTATATCTAGGGAAAAATGGGATTATTTAAAAAATTAGCGGGCTTTCTAGGGTTTGTGAGGGATGAAGGGCAGATTGAAGACGCTGAATCGGCCGCTCATGCTAGTATATCTTCATCAGGCGTTGCTGCTGCTGCTACTGCAGTTCCAGTTCAGCATCTACCCCGTAAAGGCTTCAGTGTACCGGTTCAAGTGGCTGTCGAGCGGGCCCAGTTGGGTCCCGTCATTGTTCCTTGCAATTCCGGCGAAGGCGGCCTTCAGGTGAGTTGTGGAATGATTTTATCTTGATGTTGTTTTAGTTGTATTTGTTTTTCAATTATAAATTGTGGGTCAATTGCGTTAAAGTTTTGTTCATGTTTATTTAGTTGAAGCTGAAATTGATTGGATTTTCATACTATTAACCCTTGGAATTTCATGATAATAAAAGTTGGATGATTAAGGAATCTACTTATTTCAGATCTGATTATCCTAATGCATAATACATTTGAAAATTATTGGATTAGAGTACCTTAACTCCTGTTTCGTGTGAGTTTTATTTTTATGTAATGTGAACTGCATTCTGATTTAATTCATGTTGCGTGGACCAGTTGAGTGATTGGAGAGGATTTTAGTTTTATAGATTTTTTTGTCAATTTGCTATTAATTCCTTTTTGTTTGGTACGGAAAATTCGAGGTGCCTTTGATATGCTCGTCTCTGAAATGTTATCTTTTCTTGAAATGGAATCTTTTGATGTCTATGTAGTTTATACATGATGATAGCTACATCATAGAATCTGTACATTGCACCATCTAATATTTAGATGAGGATCATGATTTGATTCGTGGAAACACTTGAAAAACAGTATCTTGGTTTATAAATTAATTACTAAGGGCAGTGTGACAACGGAAAAGGTGTAATATAGATGTCAGTTAATTTGGGATACTTTATATATGTAACTGGGTTACCCTGTTATAGGCTGCATAAATTTAATCATCGTAAGGAGACGTTAGTGAGTTTTAGCTTGTTGGATATCTATACTTGAATTTATGGCCCTTTCTTAACTTAGTTTGTTTATAATTTTGGGAACATTCTTTAAATTGGTGTAGCCCCTTCTTAACTATGTTTGTTTATCATTTTGGCAACATTCTTCAAATAGAATTCGTGAAATGCGTTATGTAATGCAGCAGCTTTATTCATTAATTAGTATCTGGGGTGAAAATTTTCTGATGACTTTCATTACGTACTATTATGGATTATATCCTGAGCATGTTTTTCTAAATCTGAAGAAGAAGGTTGAAGTAAATAAATAAATAAATATTGCTAATTTGGTATGTCTATTTGGGAAAGTGTGGTAATGATTTCGTATGTTTCACAGAGGAGCTTCTAGTAAGTTAACTAATATGCTTAATTTCCAAAAAGCTTATATTTTATTTTATTTAGAGAAGAAAAAGGTGGTAGTTTTGATGTAAAGAATGGTAAGAAGGTCTTTTCAATCATCAAGCCCATAAAAAGGCTACCTTCTTCTTTTGACTGTAAGGAATGACTGGATTTTAAAGAACCCATTGTTAACTTAAAAAAACTAATGAAAATAAGCATCTTCATTGTTAGAAAAATACATTTGGCTGGTACACGTTACTTAGAAGCAACTTTGATCAGCCAAACAAGCTCACGGATCTAATAGGTGTGTGTTCCCATTGTCAGCTGTAGATTTACTGTTGTGAAAGACATATCCAAAGCTGTTCATTTTATTTTCAAATAGGAAATTTGGAATTTGCTGGTGAACAATTAATAGTTTGCTTCATATTTATTTGAATCTGGAGGTAGATCTACTATTAGTAATTTTTAATCGGTAGAAATTTTTTTTTGTCTCCTTTTCCTTTGAAGGGAACAACTGCATGGGGCAGGTGTACTACAAAGTTACTGTACAATTGATTTATATTTTACCTCAATGTCACCGTCTGCATTTCAGTGGTAAAATTATTTTAAGGTCCAGAATAATGTTTTAAAATACCAAATTGCTTATTTGTGCCTGGTTGCTGGTGTACAAAGTCTCTTATTATTTTCTATGTTAGGACTTTGAATATGAGGTGTCTCTCACCTCAATGACATTCTGTGACATACATTTTCGAACTTTAAAAAAACAATTGATATAGATGATTAATAATGCAACTTGAAAATGCTCTTGATTAGTTGACAATGATTCTTATATTGCGAAATTATGGTCTAGCCAAGGAGTAGAATCTTGAACCTACCATATTTATAATTGGAACTGGGTCTTCTAGAACAGTTTGACGATGTTTGATGTTAGGCTTATGGATATATTTGATGGAACTAGTCCCATGAGCCAATCCTCCAGAAAGGAAAAAGTTTATAGTACGGTCATATTATATCTTGATACTGGTGACTAATATATATGTTGGAGAAAAGATAATGCTGTTTCTAGGCAAAGATACCGGTACACTATTTTGGTTTTATCTAATTCATAAAGTTAAATGCTAATGCATTCGCGTCCTTTATCAAACAGGAATGAGATAAAAGATCAGAAGCCTAAAATGATTTCAGTGTTGACATTACTGAAAGTTTATAAATATTTATATTTTCACTTGATTTTTTATTTTCTTCCTTTTTTTTATTTTATGTTTTAACTACTTGCTTGGAGTTTTTCCTTGAGTCCAGGTTGGGGTAAGGGCAATTTTATAGCTGCTGGTCTCTTTCCGAAAATAACAAACGACTAGAGCCTATAAAGTCATCAGTATGGGAGTTTAGTTGGTGCACAATTTGTTATGATATGGGTTTAAAAGGTGGAAAATGCTCTTATATATGGGTCCTCTGCGATGATTATGAAAACTTCATTTATTCAATTTGTTTAATGAATTTGCCATACAGCATACACTATGATATGAATGTGGGGAAAAGTGGTTCCCCTGATGCATAAAAAGAGGAGGAGTGAAATTAAAATCAATGATAATAGAAAGCCTCCAAATTAGGTTTTATGTTTGTTGATAAAGTTCATTAGAAAATGCCAGTTGCCTACGTCCACAAGGAAACCATGGTACTAAACTCAATCGCACAACCTTAGCAAACCACTTTTCCTTGCACCTCAGTTTTCCCACATTTTAGTTAAGCTAAGAAGTGTATTTTTTCAGGATTTGTCTCCTAAAGTCAGGCCTTACCTTTTGCTTTTGGTCAGAAGTTAATCATGGGAAGACCTTGGAGCTCACAAAGTGCCAAAATGAAAAGAGAGATCACAGAGAGAAGAAAGTAGAGAGTGACGGGCAAGAAAAATGAAAATCTTGAAATATTTTGAATCATCATAATGATCTCTAAAAATTCTTCAAGAAGATGTTCATTCATAATATATTATTATGTATTCTTTTAAGAAATCTGTCCATCTTCTAGAGCCCCTTTTTTTGTCTCAATAACTTGATACCCAAAGTATGTTAAGGGGGTGTTTGAGCCACATTATTTCAAAAAAATATATTCTTAAATAGTGATTTGACATCATTTCAACCACACATTCTTCAATAAAATAATATTACACGCAGATAAAAAATTTTTCCTTATTTTTTAACCACACATTTTCCATCAATACACTATTCAAGAATGCATTATTACCAAAATAATGTGGCTCAAACACCCCCTAAGAGTCTTAAATAATACATTTGTTTTTATTCAACATTAAGCAAGCGTAAGAACAATTTAGATGACCAAATAGAATTACACAGACCAAGATCTAAGCCCCGTTTACCAATCTGCAATTAGGCGCATCTGTGGTACCCTAATTACATGGATTATGCAAGCTAATGGTGCTTATATTGATGGTCTGAATCTTCATTCAAAGTAGATTTGGCTTTGGTATGCTTTGTTTTCTCTTATGTGTTATTACACGTACATCTGTTTTTCTGTGGGAAAAAGTGCAGATACTAAAAGAAAATAAAAGTTCATCTGTCAACCAGAAAACATGCCTTTTTTATTTTCCATGCTTATTTTATTGGGAGGAAAAGGACAGCTGGAGTTCATATCCATCTACATGGACCTGCAAAATCACCCCTATTTCATTTTAGTTTTTCTAATTTTACATTTTTGACAGTCATGTTTTCATTTGTCTGCCTATGGCATATATTTTGAAAATTTCGCATGTTATTGCTCAGGGCCTGAGATGGTACGCAAGACGCCTTAGAATAGATGAAGATGGAGATGTTGCAGATGAATTTCTTGATGAGGTACCGGCAGATACGTTCCCGAACACTGAAAATCATAACAAGAAATTGCCGAGGTTTGAAGTTAAGTACAGCACTAAGCCTGCCAAGGTGAAGAGTCAGGTACTTTTACCTGATGGTAAAATTCAACAGCAAGTGGAATACCAAGGCAGATTAGAGTGGGTCTAAATCTTAGCCTTAGGTCCTCTTCAAGACAGTTTTTCAGCATATTGAAGGCTGCCCTACTGTTCTTCTTACATATCCTAGATCATGATTGAATTAGTTAAATTAAAGTGTACTGTAACTTTTCTTGTGTTTTAAGGTTTTCTGAGTGCGATTCATTAGGTTTTTGAGGGGAAAAAATGTAAAACACATTGTGAACTGGTTTTTATTGAATGCCCTTGTACAATGCAAAGTTGTAACCATTACATCCTATAATGTTTGTGAAAGAATTGGTTTTTAATGATGTGATATATTCTGCAAATTTACATTGCTGGATGTATTCTGCAATGCTAACACAGAGCTTTAGTCTCGTCCAACCTTTGATTTGGCTGCAATTATGTGATTCTGAGTAGATCACATAGCAGCAATTTCTTTAGCATTAAGGTATCAATTAGGCCTGGGCGTGGTTTGGTTTGGATTGGTTTTGACCTAAACCCAAAACCAAACCAAAGTAATCGGTTTGAGTGAAATTAAAACCAAAACCAACCCACTCTAATTCTTAAACCGAACCAACTCAAACCACTTCGGTTCGGTTTGGTTTGGTTTGGTTTGGTTTCTCGATTTGAACTTTTAAATAACATTGCATTGTAACTTATAAAGAACAAGCAAACATTGATGTTACTCTTATACATTGTTCTCTCTCTTTTCTTTTTCTTTTTTTTCCTCCTTTTTTTCTTTCTTTTTCCGTTCTTTTTTTCCTTGTTCCCCCATTTTTGAGTTTGATTTACAAATGTGAGTGTTTCTTTTGCTTGGCGCATGATCTTTGGATACTTTCTGTGATGAATTAACAATTGCCAAACTTAATGACTAGTTTCACTTGTTTATGTCTGTGGGCGAGTGCTAATTGATTATCTGGATCATGTAATTTCACATTATAGTTTGTCTCCTTCAAAAGTATTTGTTTCATATCCTAGAATATCTTTCCTAGCATTGGTTTGGTCAAGAAGCAACATTTGATTCCATTTATAATGTCCTTTTAGTTTGTGATTTTTGTCATATGTTTTTAAATGAAGAGATTACTTTCTTCCAACTTGTGGAGGAAGCAAATTTTCCTTCAAGTTTGTTTTGTTAATCTACAATGGGGGATGAGGAAAACAATTTTCAACCTTCAAAAAAGAGGG